TAAAACAGCAGAGTTACTTACAATAGACAAAACATGGAATCAACCTGAATGTCCATCAAAAGGTGACAGGATACATTTGGTACAGATGGGCGAGAAAGAAGAGAGTAACCCCAGGCATAATTCCTCAGCATCTTCCAGGGGGTCTAACTACAAAGGCTTGACAAGTAGAAGTCTACCAACCTCAATGAGCGAAAACTATCACTAAAGGCACAAATAACACCAACAAGCTCAGTAAATCCACAATGTCCTTAGTGATACCATGATGAGGATGTTCGATGAGCTTAAAAGATGATGGCACACACAGCAAAGAATAAGAAAGTCTGAGAGTCAAAATGAGAAAACCACTACAATAAGAAATGATAGAAATAAAGAGCATGTGAGGTGATATAAAATATTCAGTAGAAGCTCTGAATAGAAGTTGCAAAAAAGATCAAGAAGCTCCGAGACATGAAGGAGTTATATTCTATGAAATAACTGAAGGAAAATGGCTTGAAAAGATATGAACAGTGCAGCAGAGAACTATGGGATGAGTTCAAGAGGAGCAATATAAAAATCTTCAAGGTGCACATGTTGCTCGCATCTCCCCTTTTGATATGTGCACTTTCAGACCTAATGCTAGGATGTGTACTGTGGGTTTCGCTCTCTCCACACTAGAGAAGCCTGTGTTCTCTCTTTCTCTCCCCTCTCCTCCCTCCCTTCCTCAAAAGTTTCAAATAAAAACTGTTTATTTTCAGGATTATTAAGAATTTCTATGCTATTACATGGTTTTAAAGAACAATTAAAATGTTCCATTCATGTGTTATTGCTAAAATTATAATATTTTCTGATATAAAGCCAATATTTACTTTCTTAGGATAAAATACTTTTACAGGTCTATTCATATTTTCCCATTTAAATTTTCTTTTTTGACTTTTTTATTTTTTTAAAATTTTGGGCTATACTCAGTGATGCTCAGGGTTACTCCTGGCTCTGCACTAAGGAATTGTTCCTGTTGGGTTCGGGGGACCTTATGGGATGCTGGGGATCAAACTCAGGTAAGCTGTGTGCAAGGCAAATGCCCTAACCACTATATCTCCTGCCTGACATTTCATTTTCTTACCTCAAACTATACTATATAATATTACAATAATAAAAGCAGAGTTGTATTAGAATAAAGGCAGACTTGCCCCCCAGGAGCGGCTCTCCAGCACGGCCATAGCCCCAGAAGCACAAGGACTTAATGCAGAACCCAGCAGCTTGGAGCAGAAAAGTGAAAGGACTATGTGTTAATCCAGGCCATCATGTCTGCCCGGAGGGGAAAGGGTGTTGCTCCCTTCCGCCCTCCTCCCTCTGGAAAGAAAGATGGCGGCCACATGGGAGCCTTGTGGACAGCAGGTATGAGCCGGGGGTGTGGGGGCGACTAAAACCTCATGGGAAGGGGGGCGTTCCGGTCCGTCCTTCACGCCCTACCGAGGTCACCAGTTGCTCCCCGTGAGCGGCTCTCCAGCACAGCCACGGCCCCAGAAGCACAAGGACTTAATGCAGTACCCGGCAGCTTGGAGCAGAAAAGTGAACGGACTATGCGTTAATCCAGGCCACCAGGTCTGTCCGGAGGGGAAAGGGTGTTGCCCCAGTCGCCTTCTCCTCTCTGGAAAGAAAGATGGCGGCCGCATGGGAGCCTTGTGGACAGCAGGTATGAGCCGGGGGAGTGGGGGCGACTAAAACCTCATGGGAAGGGGGGCGTTTCGGTCCGCCCTTCACGCCCTACCGAGGCCACCAGTTGCCCCCCACTAGCAGCTCTCCAGCACGGCCACGACTCCAGAGCACAGAAACCAATTTCTTAACTATCTGACTTTCAGTAGAAATACTTCCAGGGTCAATAAGTAAAATAGCAGAAATCCAAAACCAACATTTAATTCTTGAACCCAGCTGTAGAAAGCAAATCACTTCACAATGCTTTTTCAACATGTCTGATTTGGGGGGGGGGTAAACTCTAAATAATAGTGGTGAATCTTTTATTGAAACAATGAATTTAATCAAAGCAGATAGAGTGTTAACTAGAATTCATCTGCCCCACAGGGACTGGGAGGGGTGGGGGGTGGGGTTTTATTGGGGTTCTTCATGGTAAAAAATAAGTATTGGTAAAGGGAAATGTGTTTGATATTTGCATGACTGAGACCTAAACCTGAAAGCTTTGTAACCTTTCCCACGGTGATTCAATAAAGAAATAAATTAAAAAAAAAAAGAATAAAGGCAGACTCTAAAAGACAGTGGAATAGAGCTGAGAGTCAAGGAATAAATACTCAGATCACGTCAGTTTATGATGAAGAAACTAGATATATTAAGTAGAATGATGAAAACCTCTTCAACAACAGTTGGAAAAACTGGCATTCCACATGCAAAAAGTGAATTTGAACCCCCTTTTCAAATCAAATGCAAAAAGTTAATTTGAAATGAGGAAATACATACATTTTAGACTCAAATTCATTAAACACACTAAGGCATAACTATCTGTTACGGACTGTCTACAGTTAGTGTCTACAATGACTCAATTTCACCGGCAGAAAAAATAAAGTAAAAATAAATGAAAGGATTACATCAAACTAAAAAGTTTCAGCACCAAAAAAAGAAACCACAGTTAAAATAAAAATATATCCTGAACAGAATAAAATAACTGCACAATATATAAAACCTTACGGAGGACTAATATCCAAGAGATATAAAGTGCTTACAGAACTTAACAAAATAAAACCATCCCATTAAAAAATGAGGCAAGTAGTAGTAGTAGAACAAGTAGAACAAGATCCGGAATAGGAGTTAGTGAAGAGCTGAAAATACCCAAGTACCAAAAAAAAACATGAATGGATGGAACAGTTTATATATATATGTGTGTATGTGTGTGTGTGTGTGTGTGTGTGTGTGTGTGTGTGTGTGAGTGAGAGAGAGAAGATGATAAAACCTTGCATTTCACACAGCTTGGATGGAATTAGATGGTTTCATGCTAAGAGGAGTGAGTCAGAAGGTGAAGAATAAATAAATGATGATCTCACTCATACAAAGAGAATAAAAAGACAAAAAAAAGCAGTGGTTAATGAAAAGAAACTCTAAGATTAAACTAGTAAAATTGAGTCTGACAAGGGGCATGGGATATGGAAGAGAAAGAATGCGGGACAGTGGTAGAGGGATATTGGACTCTGGTGGTGGCTGTGGTATAGCAGCAACATGATGCCTAAAACATTAAGCTTCAAATTTGTTAAATTTTGGTAAATTAATAAAATTTGTACAATCTCATGCCTTTTAAAATTTTTCTTCTTTATTAGTGAAACACCATGAGGTAGTTATAGACTTACAAACTTTTGTGCTTGTGTTTCTGTTACACAATGGTCGAGTACCCGTCCCTCCACCAGTGCCCATTTTCCACCATCAATGATCCTAGAAGCCCTCCCCCCCACCTTCTATTCCCCGCACCCCACCCCGCATCTGTGGCAGGACATTCCCTTTTCCTCACTCTATCCTTTAGGGTGTTGTAGTTTGCAATAGAGGTTGAGTGGCCATCGTGTTTGGTCTATAGTCTACTTTCAGCACGCATCTCGCATCCCGAGATGGGCTTTTGTTTTAGGGAAGACTTTCGGTTACGGTTTCAATTTCCTTGATGTTATACAACTATTCAGGTACTGTACAACTTCTTGATTCAGCCTTGGGAGATTGTCGGAATCTAGGAATTTATCCATTTTTTCTAGGTTCTCTTGTTTCGTGGCATACAGACTTTCAAAGTAGTCTCTTATGATCTTTTGAATTTCTTTGGTTTCTGTTGTGATATCCCCTTCTCATTTCTGATTCATTAGGTTTATTAGGGTTCTTTCTCTCTCTTTGTGAGTCTTGCTAGTAGTTTAACTATCTTGTTTACTTTCTCGAAGAACCAGCTCTTGGTTTCATTGATCTTTTGGATTGTTTTTTGGGTGTCCATGTCGCTCTAAGTTTTATGATCTCTTTCCTTCTGCCTTGTTTGGACTCCTTTTGTTGGTCCTTTTCTAAGATCTTTAGCTGTGAAGTCAAGTTGTTTATGTGGGCCTTTTCTTCCTTCCTGAGAAATGCTTGCAGAGATATAAATTTCCCCCTTAACATGGCTTTAGCTGCATCCCATAGGTTCTGGTAGCTTGTGTCTTCATTCTCATTTGTTTCCAGGTATCTTTTGATTTCGTCCTTGACTGACTTTCTGACCCACTTGTTGTACAACATTGAGTTGTTTAATTTCCAGGTGTTTGATTTGGTTCTCCATGTCTGTGTGTGATTCACTTCTATCTTCAGTGCATCCTGGTCTTAAAAGATTGTTGATAGTATTTCTATCTTTCTGATTTCCTTGAGGAATGTTTTGTGGCCTAGCACATGGTCTATTTTGGAAAATGTTCCATGTGCACTGGAGAAGAATGTGTATTCTTTCTTTTGAGGGTGTATAGGTCTATAAGCCCTCTTTCTTCTATTTCTTCCTTCAAAGCCATGTTTCCTTGCTGAGTTTTGTTCTTGTTGATCTATGCAGAGGTGATAAGGCAATGTTGAAGTCTCCAGCTCCTATTGTGTTGCTAGCAATGTCCTTCTTAAAATCTGTTAGCAGTTGTTTTAAATATTTAGCTGTTCCCTCATTAGGTACGTATACATTTAAGAATGTGATTTCTTCCTGTTGTTCGTATCCCTTGTTAAATAGAAAATGGCCTTTGCTGTCCCTTCATATCTTTTCCAACCTGAAATTTATGTTGTCGGATACTAGTATGGCCATCCGAACTTTTTTGAGGGAGCTGTCTGCTTGCAGGATTGTTTTCCATCCTTTAATTTACAGTCTGTGTTTGCTCTGACTGTTGAGATGAGTTTCTTGTAGGCAGCAGAAATGTTGGTTTCTGTCTCTGAATCCATTTTGCCACTCTGTGTCTCTTAATTGGTGAATTTAGACCACTGACGTTGACAGAGATCATTGTTATGGGATTTTGTGTCATCTTTCTGTAAGGGTTTGCTGTGCCTGGAGGGTTAATCTTGTGGAATGTTTCACGAATTTGCGTGTCATCCTTGCGCAGCGACCATGCTAGTCTTCTCTGTATAGTTCCAATTTTATGTATATGTGCTGCTGAAATGAGCACACAATCTCATGCCTTTATCATCAATGTGGATGTCTTTTCATCCATTTTAAAATACATGTTTTCAAAAGGACACTTTGGTTGTCTTAAACTTATTTTAGAAATTCTGACATCATTTTAGTTTTCCTAGCTACATGCTTAGGGATCACTCCTGTTGGGGCTCGGGGCGCCATATGGGATTCTGGGGATGGAACCCAGGAAAACCTTGTGGAAGACAAATGCTCTATCCACTGTACTACTGCTCTGGCTCTCTCTCTCTCTCTCTCTCTCTATATATATATATATATATATATACACACACACACACACATATGTATATATATTTTGTTGTTGTAATTAAAAGGAATTTCATTTTATGTAAAATTTCTAGAAAATTGTTTATAAAGCTGTTTAAAATAAATTATTCTCACAAAATATTGTTTACTTACAGGTGCAGTATTATAGAGCTGACAAGGAATACAAAACTGGGGTATATCAGGATACAGCAAAATAGGGTACAGATGACACTGTGGAATCTTCTCAGTGAATCCGTGGTCTAAATATTGTACCTGAAATAGGAAAAAGAAAGCCTTTAACTAAGACTTGCTACTAAAATCTATTACTAAAAAACAGAAAGGACTCCCTGGCATTAAAAGAAAAAAGGAATACCAGAAGGATACCTAAAGCTGAATCTGAAAACTCTTCTGAAAAAAGAATTACTGTGGGCTACAGTGTGCACACCTTGCATATGGCCAGCCTCCAGGTTTTGGCACTCAGGCCCTTGACATTGACCTCTGTTCTAGTTGGCTGAGAATGACCAAGAAGTGTCCCTGGGCTTTCTGAGTCCCATTTGGGAGATATGGTTCCTAACACACAGTGTGTACACACACACACACACACACACACACACACACCCAAAGCAATACTGTATTCACTCATACACACACACACACACACTCTCTCTCTCTCTCTCTCAAAGCAATATTGTATTCACTCATACCATTGTATATCAAATCTCACTGTCAAATGAAAGATTCGTATGAAAGATTCATAAAAAAATTTTAAAGATATTTTATTAATTTAAAAATTTATTTTATTGGGGGAGGTGTCACCTCAGCAGTATTCAGGGTTTACTCCTGTGGCTCTGTGCTCAGGGATCATTCTTGGTGGTGCTTGGAAGAACTTTACGTGGGGCTAGGGAGTGAATCCGGGTCCTTGACATGCCAGGGGACTATCTCTTCCATATGCCCTATCTCTCCAGTTCATAAAATTCTCAGTATCTTCAGCTTCACAGTTAAGTATTTTTGATGAACACTGTAAGCAGTGTTCCTTCTTAGAGAATCACATTGCATGACAAAGGCTATGAGAAGTCGTGTGAGAAAAACTGATTTTAAAATAGAGACCACATCCCATGATTACTTGAGTGGGTGGGATCATGTAACCAGGGATCAAACTTGAGGCTTTGTATATGTTAGGCATATGTTATACCACTTGAGCCTCCTGAGCCAAGAAACTTGTTATTTTTTTGTTTTGGGGCCACACCCAGTGGTGCTAAGGCTTTACTCCTGGCTCTGCAGTCAGGAATTACTGCAGGTGGGGCTCAGGGAATCATATGGGATGCCTGAGATTTAAAACCGGGTCAGCTCTGTGCAGGGCAAATACCCTACATGCTGTACTATCATTACAGCCCCAATAAACTTGTTTTTATAGTGTTCCTCAAAATTCTTTGTAAAGTTACTTTTTGAGAAGACTTTAAAAATAATTTTAATTAATTTTTGCTTTTTAGCATTGTACAGGGGTTACTCCGGCTCATGCGCTCAGGAATTACTCCTAGTGGTGCTCGGGGAATATGGGATGCTTAGAATTGAACCCGCGTCAGCCGTGTGCAAGGCAATTGCCCTACCCACTGTGCTATTGCTCCTTTCCCTGTGCCCCCGCTTTTTTTTTTTTTAAAAAAGAGTAGTTTGTTTTTACACAGAAACTGAGAGAAAAATAGAGATTTTTCCATATATTTTTATATTACCCCCACGACTGACATCTTGCACTAGAATGGTAATTTAGTTTTAATCTTCAAAACTATATGTAGGGAGCTAGAGTACAGGGCTTTGGGTGCTTGCCGTGCTTGCAGCCTACTCTGGTTTGATCCGCAGTACCACATATGACATTACCAGGAGTGACTGCTATGCACAGAAGAGCCAGTCAGTAAGCCCTCAGTGCAGCCATGTGTAGTCCCTAACTCCCATCCCCACCACCTCCAAAGACTTTACCTACAGATCATAGTCACCTAACTCCACAGTTTAGACAGACAGATAGAAGACAGTCCTCCCGCTGTTCACCAATTTGCTGGAGTGGGCCCAGTAACGTCTCCATTTTGAGACTTGTTGTTACTGTGTTTGGCATATTGAATACGTCACGGGTAGCTTGCCAGGCTTTGCCGTGCAGGCGAGATAGTCTCAGTAGCTTGCTGGGCTCTCCGAGAGGGGCGGAGGAATCGAACCCGGCTTGCTTGCGCTGGCTGTGCACATCCCCGAGTCCACAGTTTACATTAGTTTACTTTTGATAGTACCCATCCTGTAAGGCTGACCTTTATAAAGACATCTATCCCTAATTAGAAATTCATACTGAGCATTTTCATTATACGCTACACCCACACATCACATTCCTTTGTGATCGGCCTAGTCAACCCTTTCACGCAATTCCTTGTGAAAATAAAGCTTTTTATTAGTTGATATTCAAGATCTATAAAGCACTCACTAAACACACCAATAAAAATCTACTGACCCTATCCATAAATGGGACAAGGAGATAAACAGACGTTTCCCTAAAGAAGACATATGGATATGAAAAAGTGCTTATCACTCTTAATTAGGTAAAGGTAAAGGTAAAGACCCTCCCGTTGATCGTCGATTTGCTCGAGCGGGCCCAGTAACGTCTCCATTGGAGACTTTGTTGTTACTGTGTCTGGCATATCGAATACTCTTGGTAGCTTGCCGGGCTCTCCGAGAGGGGCGGAGGAATCGAACTCGGGTCGGCCATGTTGGCCGCTTGTAAGGCAAACGCCCTACCCACTGTGCTATCGCTCCAATTAGGTAAATGAAAATCAAGACACTGACAGGATTCATGCCTGTGAGAATTACACATACTAAAAAAAATTGGAATAACCAATGCTGGTGAGGTATGGTGGTAAGAAAGGCACCCTTAACCCCATGCATATAGTTTTGAAGATTCCCTGGTGGAAATATCATCTGGTTTAACTTCTATAGAAAGAAATATGGAGATTTTTCCGAAGAAAGGAATAGAACTTCCATATGACTCAATGGTAGGGTTTCTTGGCATGTATCCCCAAAGACAAAAACATTAATTTGAAAGGATATATGCACATCTCTGCACTTAGTACAATAGCCGTAATATGGAAACAACAAAAATGCTCAACTACAGATGAGTTAATCAAGAAATTGTGGTATATATTCAGAATAAAATATAATTTGGCTCCAAGGAAGAACAAAATCATGCATTTTATAGCAACATGGATGGAACATGCTAAATGGAATCAGTCAGAAGGAAAGGGACAAATACAGAATGGTCTCTCTCATTTTGTGGGACTTAAAGATACACAGTGAGTTAGCAAGAAAGGTCCAAAAGAAATACAATGAAAGAACTGATCCACACAATTGAGTTGGGAAGATGGGAGGTGAGATTGAGGGAAATGGGTACACTAGCAATGGGTGTGATGTTGGAACTATGTCCATGAGAAAGCATTAATAGTATTATAAACCAAAACAAGTTTTAAGAAATATTTTTACTCTCTCCAGTTTTGTTTTCTATACAACACCATTTGGTATCTTTTGCCTCTTAATGGGCCATGGGCCAGAGAGAGTACAGGAGGAACATGCATGTAGTTGCAACTGCTGCAACACCAGTTCAAATCTCCAGCATCACATGTGGTACCTTGAGTACTGCAGTGGGTGGCTCCTGAGCAAAGATCCAGGAAAAACCTTTGAGCACATTATGGTGTGGCCCAACCTCCCAATAAAGATTGCTTTCTCTTCATAATAGGCATTTAAGGTTTTCTGATGGCTCATCTCTCTTTACTGAACCATATCTTATCATCTGGATATATTACAGTTTATGGTTGCTTCTAATTTCATCAATTATGAATTAAGCAGGCTGCTTCCTCCATGCCTGTTCTGGCAGGGGACCTTTCAGTGGAAAGTGGCTGGCGTGAGCACACGAGATCCATGCTCCCACGTCCCCAGAAACCAAGCACCGCAGTGAGTGTGGATTCCTGCCAGGTGCAGCTGGTGGGGAAGGTGAACCTGGAATGGTCAGGCTGAATCCTGAGGCACAGATGGGGGTGGACAGGTGGATGGGGTTAGCAAGGAAAGGGGATGATGGGCTTTAGCAGTCCACCTCCTTGGAGTTTGACTCAGCACTGTACTGTGAATGTACCAGATCCTCTGCTGGCCTGGGTTGCAGCAGCCAGCTGCTGCTTGTTGCTCCACCGTGGCCACTTGCCTGGGCTGGCTCATCGCACGGTGCCAGTGAATACCCTGCTGCCAGTGCTGCCCCCATACAGACTAGGGCTCCCCTCTGCCACCTTTGTGAGCTTTGGGTTTCTGCCCACCAGGTGGGCCTCTGCCTCCTCAATGTGGCAGTAGCTCAGCTCACAGCATGGCCACCTGAGCTCCCAGGTGACATCTGCCACCTTGCATTCAGGTGGTAGATTGGCAGTCTTGGAGCAGGCTTGAGAGGAAGCAGACAGACCCTAGCTTTGGCTTGTGCCCACCTCTGTGGTGGGAGCTTTGTGTACCTCTGTGTCTGCATGTGGGAGCTGCACGTTTTGCATTCACGGATCTCATGACTTCCTGTCTCAATCCAGGACACCACGGTCTGCCTCTTACCTCCCTGCTGGTGCCTTGGTGCCTCTCCCATTCTCAGAGTCCCCTCAGGTCCCAATTGGGTGTTGAGAGCGCTACCTCCCCCAAGCTGGGTTGCTCTGCTAACTTCATTTTCTGGAGTTCCAA